ACGACGACCACGACGACGACCACGACGACGACCACCACGACCACGACCACGACCGCGACTGCGACCACGACCACGACCACGACCACGACCACGACCACGACCACGACGACGACGACGACGACGACGATGCCGACCCTAAAGCTGCGCGGGTATTTGTGGGAATGTGGTCTCATGGTGTTACACGCAACACATTGCGACTCAAAACACGGGGATGATTTAGGGCTTATGGTTTAACGGACGTGGAATTTTTGAACCTTCATCTTGCTTAAGGAAATACAGGGACACCTATTTGTTGATCAAAAGCATCCCGTAGTCCCACCATCTGCATAGGAGTCCTGACGCCCTCGCAAACCTGAAACCTCCAAAAGTATCACCTTGCACAAGCCTTAACCCTAAACCCTCCAGAAAGGGACCATTAATCCACCCTGCACAAAAGTACCCGAACCCTAAACCTGGACCCAACCCACGACCCTAAACCCTCAAGCCCGCATAAACTTACCATATTTTCTTAGGGTGCACAAATTTCCTTGATTGTAAAATTTCGAAACCAAAGTGACCACCCCCAAACCTTAAGCGCAGCAAGGTCAGCCGTCGAGGGCTCAAGCCAGCCAAGGCTGATCTGAAGGTCTTTTCCAGCAGCCTGGATGCCCTCCCCAAAACAACATGACAGTAGCATTTTGTTTGGGGATTCTATAGCCCCTAATATACAGTAAGACTATATCTATATCCTTCTTTGTGGGTATAGTAGACAACACGAAGAAAATCTCATGTGGTTCAGCCACCACAAAACGCTATTCACGGGAATCTCCCGATAGTTACCGATATCCTGGGCTTATATAGGGGTCATGCATGGATATCAACCATACGATGGAGCATCAAATGTACAAGAACATGGAAATGATAATGTACACTGCCCAAATGTCGATGCAGTCTGCAAACGGGAGTCTTAAGGGCTACTTTATTGTTACCGCAGTTCTCAGTATTACTACTATGATTGTTACAAGTATGAAACTATTGATACAAATATTAACATTGTTATCACTACAATTGTTGTAATACATTTTTTAGGGGAGGGTAAGTTGTCTTCCAAGCATAGAGCCTCCAGAAGGCTGGAATTCAGACGCTTTTGCACAATCCAATTTGCTTGGTGTTATGCCCAGATAATGTGCAGGAAGCTAGACCCTTGGGAGGAAAGCAGAGTAGATCCCTGTGAGGGATTCGCTTACCATACCCACTTTTGCGGATGTACAGACCCCTAAAAACCCCAAAACCCCAAGACCTTAAATCTTAAAACCCCAAATCCTAAACCCTAAACCCTAAACCCTTGTTGACCATGAGCCCTGGAATCCCAAATCGGGGATTCTGCTTTCGGTCCTCCCAGCGGTTTGGACAGCCATGCCTGATTTTGCCCGGGTGTGAAAAGCTCGCCCGTCGTGTCATGGCTACAGAATTTTGTAAAGTTAGTGCGGATGGCTGCTACGACGGGCTTTACACAAGATACGTCGGCCATAAACAAAGAGAGCCTTCTCGCAGCAGCCCAGCGCCCGCATTCGGAGGCCTTCCAGCCTCAGGCAACTGATGATGCCTTGCAACTGGAAGTGTTAATCGCAAAGATCAGCAAGTAGTCTGCCGAGCTATGCAGGCTTGCAGGAGTCATCCTAGTTGCATATGTTGCCTGCAACAAAGTCAAACTTCACCACAAGAGTTGGTGGGGAGATGCTTAAGCAGGAGTGTTAAGCTGCAATTCGCTGTTGCACACCGACACATTTGGGAGTTTCTCAAAGTTAGTGCTCCTGAACATACCAAACGCTTCAGGACCTGAAGGCTTTGGCAAGAGGGACACATTATTCTGAGAATCTCGCATCTTTTGTGCGGGTAACTTCCGCAAGAGGAGGATCCTGCTTAGCTGACGCTCCCTGGCGGGATGCAACCTGGGCCCACAGCGGTCGAATGGCCCGCCACAAGGGAGCTCAGATGTTAGTTCGTTCCCGATTGAAAAAAAGCTGGAATTCTTGGTCATCTCTGAAGGCTGATAGGATGAGAAGGCGTTCATTTTTTTGAGACTCATTGGTAGTGACCCATAATCATTGTTGGCTGTCCCGTCCAGGCTAGGGCTCAGTGAGACATACCAGCTAGTTGCTGCCATTGCTTCAAGGGGCTGCGACGGTCGCGAATGACTGTTTTGGATCTTTGCCAGGAGTCAGACATTCAGGTCACCGGCGAATACCTGACCAACTATCTCAAGGACCAAAGACAGGGCGACTTGGAGTAACTCGCTTCAGGAAGGCTGCAAGAATTGTCTGGGGATGATGTGCATCACCTACTACCAACCTCAAGGACGGCATATGCCTGAAATGAAGCACGGAGCGTTTTTTGCCAGGGACTGTGGAAGATGCATTCTAGATGGTTTGAGCCAGCGCGGCCTCAACTGTCAACTGGCTCTGGCCCACAGGGATGTTCTTATGCAAGAGGTCCTAAAACCCGGTGACAGTGCTTGTGTATGGAAGCTTACTTTCGCAGTACCGCACTCTGGATTAAGGTGGATGTACACTTCCCTCAACAGGCCTTCAGCCACAAAAGACGACCGATAAGGACGACTGTCCTACAAGTGGCCTCCGTAGGTTCCATGTCAGTGCAGGACAAGTGTAGGCTGCACACCTAGGCGAAGGGCTGTACTCTCATGTGGGCATTTCAGCAGTGCTTGCAAGGCGTGATTTTTAGATTGCCACTTCAGGATCTTGAGACACCACAAAGAAAGCATTTCAACTTCCCAGCAAGTACCAGACCCAAAAACTTATGCATACGCATAGATTTTGAAGCTATCGTTTGAGGGCTCCCAGGCTGTATCTTTGTGACAGTAGGGGTCTACACCCACTTCGCGGTAGAGCAACTAATCGAGCTTTTCACTAGGCTGAGGGTTGCCGAGGTCCTCCTACTAGGATTTTTCCAGCGGGGCTACACACTAAATTTTCAGGAACGACCATTTCCAGCGCGTGTTATTCTTGCTAGTAGATGGGGTGAAGTCGAGATGTTAGCTGCCAGGAGATGGATGGCGACGACTCGCAGTTCAAGGAACCTTGCAGTTTATTTGGGGCTTTGGGTTTAGTGTGGATGCGCTCGGCTTTGTAAGGGAGAGAACTTGCGTGTGTGCCTTGTTGAACATGATGGTCGTAATGTTCATGCTGAGAATCCTTAGGGCCTCAGCATACTACAATGCCATAATTTCCAAGGTATATGATATTTGACCCCTCCCCGAATTATTACCCCTCTTAAACAACACATACCCACAAGATAGTACAAGGAATATTTGTTATCAATGGTGTGGTCCGATCCATTTTGCATGGGGAAAGGATTAGCATCAGCAGGACGATTTTGATCACCTTTGAACCCTTCAGGGAGTGGTTGGGGGAGATCAATTTTCAGCCCGGCGCATGCAAAGGGTTTTTTTCTGCTAGACTTGTTCCCCATTTTTGTTGTCAGGGCTTCGTACAATCGTCCAGCTGTTCACAGCAATTGCGTGAGTTTCTTTCCATACTCCCTGTTTCACGTGTCTGATTTGTTTGTCGCATGCTCTGCTTGAACAGGGTTTTAACAAGAGGCCTCTCACTTGTTTACATATTGCATATTTACATCTGCTATCCTCCTGCACAGTAACATACAGCAATCAACAGTAGATGCTGAAGCACGAGTTTCGAGCCACTCCCATTGTCTTGCTTCTTTGGGTTATGGGCAGAATTGCACGGTTCGGCCTTTGTTCTAGAGGGGTTATATAGGGCTTATGTTGGGTTTGGAGGTTGAGGCGTTAAGTGTCAGCATGGCCCCCTGCACGTCAACGCTGTGATCGCTTTCTTGCAGCAAGACCAGGGAGAATTTCTTACAGCGTGCTCGGGGCATTATACATGGATTATATGGGAATCATTTAGGGTTCCGTGGCATGTTACCCCAACCATGAAGAATCAAATGGAAAAGAGAGTGGAATATGAAAGGGGAAGCGGGATTTATATGGGATATATATATATATTTATGACGTCTAGCTAGCAAGGAACTAAGAAGTGCAATTGGGGTTATTTAGGGTTGGGGATGGGATGCATTCCTTCATCACAGACTAACAGCCAGCAAGTAGAGGCCAACAAGTTTGAACACGGAAGCGGGATACTTTACCTTTACAAGGACAGCAGTCTTTACAAGGTCACTTGTTCGGTCTCCGGTTAGTTAAGGGGAGGATCTTTCTGTCTTAATATCTCCTCAAAAGCCAGGTCCCCACTATTCCTCGAACCCCAGCAGATTTGAGGAAGATCCGTGTCTTGTGCGCAGGACATCAATGCCGCTGCATGGGCCCCAGGAGCACGGTGGTTTCTGGGAGTTTTCTCAGCTCGGCCATGTGACTCTGGTCATCCTCTCTCCCTGTTACTAACCTCTCCGCCCCCCCCCACCCCGATCTTAAATATTTACCACTATCGTAGATAATCGTAGATTGAGAGTATTGAGTATTAGGGCGGTGGGGGGGTGGGGTTTTCTATTAAGAGGATGGGACACTGCCTCGCAGAATACAAAAACATCAGACCTGCTGGGTTCATCTGAGCTGTAGTCTAAACTCCTTAAAGGGGGGTATGTAAAGGATTGTATAGGAGTAGTATTGGGGTCATTAAGGGGGATACTAGGAGTTTAGACTATAGCTCATGTGTTTTGCAGGTTCCGTGTTTGTCGAGGTGCTCCAAGGGTTGCATGTCCGTTGGGTTGCCGGTTGGCATCCAGAGATTTGGCGAAACAAGGGGTGATGCTATTTCTGGATCAATGTTAGGGATCCTTTATACTTTTTGGGGTATGGGATTCCTCATATTTATGTAAAAAGGATCCTTTTTTCTTCCTAGGGTAATGTGGGCTAAGATTTGGCAGGTACGTTTCGCGCCGCGCAGGCTTCTGTTAGCTGTGTCTGAAAACCTCTCCAACAAGCATGGCTGAGGCCCAAGGAACAACGCAAAACAAGTTCATAAGCCCTAAACCCTAAATCCTTAACCCTTAAGCCCTGACCCTAGACCCTCAACTCTAGATCCTGAACCCTAAACCCTAAACCCTGAAACCCCTGAAACCCCTTCAACCATTGCTAAGGTGGTGCCTCTTTCCACGGGCACGAGTCCTCCGAGACTCCAGCCTGCAGAGTCTCGCCCCCGGCTTTGCCCGGGTTGCTGTTAAGGAAGGTTTAGCGCTTAGGGTTTAG